AAAAATAAAAATTAATAAAATAGAAATTCTTGATTTTAGTGTAATTTAATCTTTCAAAATTATCTTTCATAGATATCTTTCATTTAATGTTTTATTTAAGATACCATTTCCTGTTCTGAGATTATAAGATATTCTATGAAAACTTAAATTTTTAAAATTTTGTTTTCCCACATCTATCTTTAACCCATCTGGACAATATATTTTTAATGTATAAAAAAGTCTAGAAATCCCATTTAATTTTTGCTTCCATACAGATAAACAATTATCCCTGGCAACATCTTTTTCATCTTATATGTATGCAATGCCATCTTTCTAAATTAAGCTTCCTAATTTCATAAATTTCTGTTTATTTATTTTAAAGACACATCATAATTAAAACAGGTTTATAATAATTTTTTATATCTGGTAAGCAAACTCCTGCCACATGACCTTACATTTCTGTTTTGGCTGTTCATGGTATTGTTCCTTCATTGATATTTTGAAATCATATTGTAAATCTCAGTGAAACCTGGAGATTTTTAAGGAAATATAATGAACCTATTGAACATTTGGAGATAATTTGTACATTTATTCATTGAGGCTCCCATTTAATATAATAATGATATATCTGTCCATTTATTTCAAATTTTTTTAAAAATTGTAAAAAGTTTTATTAGTTTATTGTTTCAACATATTTTGTTAAATTTATCCTTATATATGTATATATTGGTTCCATTATTATTTTTATTATTAACTTTTATACATATTTATAAATTTAAATTAATATTAGTATATTTATCCTTGGAGATTATATTTGTCTCTAGGCCTCCTAGTAATACATGAACATTTCCACTTTTGAAATTAATAAGTTTATGTTAAATTAATTAGATTTATGTTAGTAGAGGATCCATCATCATACTAATCCTCTCAAACTACTGAAAGTAGTATTTATAAATTTATAAACTTGTAAAAAGTTTTGTATTTATAAATCTCATTCTAAACCAAAATTTTTCTAAACTCTAAAACATAGTTGTTTCTTTTTGTTACAAAAAAAGACATGGACATGTTGATATTCTTGATGCCTTTGAATATTTACTTAACTCTTAAAAGTAAAAGTAAATAAGATCTACATTATTATTTACATTCTTTGAAACATTAGAGTCATTATACTATTCAAACATTTATCTTGGTGTTACTTATATGTTTTACTTTGAATATGGTGGTATAAATTGATTGACATCCAAATGTTAAATCAGCCTTGCTTCCATTAAAAGAGAGAGAGAGAAGAAAGAAAGAAAGAAAGAAAGAAAGAAAGAAAGAAAGAAAGGAAGGAAGGAAGGAAGGAAAGAAAGAAGGAAAGAAAGAAAGAAAGATCGAACAAGCCAAGAAATTAAAAACTGGTCTTTTGAAAGGCTAAATAAATTACTAAGGTTCTAGTTGAGCTAACAAAGAAAAAAGATACAAATTACCTCCATTAAGAATGAAAGAAGGGATATAACTGATCCCCAAACATGAGTAGGCTAAAAGGGGGATACTGCGAGCAACTTGATAACCATAAACTTGTTAGCTTTGCTCAAATGGACAAATTTCTTCAAAGACATAAACTACCCAAACAACTCACTAAAGAATATATACATAACTTGAATAGCCCTTGTGAGAAGTTGAATTGGTAGTTAAAAAAGGAGAAGAAACACATGTATAAGATGATTTCACTTGTGTACTCTACCAAATATTGAAGGAGGAAATTATACATGATTTCTTCCAAAAGAAAAAGGAAAAGAAAGAAAAATAAAACACTTTCCAACTAGTTTTCTGAAGTTAGTATTGCCTAAAAATCAAAACCAGACAAATGTACAGCGAATAAATTAATTAATTAAAATTTATAAAAGAAAGAAAATCACAGACTCATATCTCATATGAACAAAGACACAAAAATCTTCAAAAAAATATGAGCAAATTGAAACCAGTGTTATAAAAATGAAATTATCAGGGCCATGAGGCTGGTTCAACATTCAAAAAGTTATCAGTGTAGTTCACCTTATAAAATTAATGGTTTTTAAAGTCATATGATATTAATAGATACAGATAAACACTCAGGATAAAAACCTCTCATGGCACTAAGAATATAAGGGAACATCTTTAACTTAATAAATACTGTCCATGGAAAACATTTTGTTGCAGGATTTTATTACCTCAATACTCGGGATTTGTTGTCTCACTACTTTGAAGAATGAACAGAGTACTTCAAAAGGATCATGTCATTAAGTAGAAAAAGCAGCATTATAAAACTGCTAGAAGAAAACAGAGGAGAAAATCTATGTGACCTCTGGCAATTGTATTTTTAGTTACACCAAAATTTGGCAATGTGTTTTTAGATACACCAAAAGCAGAACTTGTGGAAAAAAATGATTAATTGGGCTGTATTAACAATAATAACTGCTTTGTGAAAAATACAGTTGAGTCAAAAAAGAAGCCATAGACTTAGAAAATTTATTTGCATAACACCTGATAAAGGATTGTATCTGAAATATACTATTTAAAACTCAGCATTTAGAAAACAAACAACTCAATTAAAAAGTGGGCAAAATATCTGAACAAATGCCACATCAAAAAAAAAATAGATATCCAGATGGCAAATAACTATAAAATGATACTATCATTTGTCATTAAAGAATCAGAATTTAAAATGACAATGAGATACCAGTATCATTTGAGTGACTAAAATCCATAAAAACTGGCAATACCAGGGGCGCCTGGGTGGCTTAGTCGGTTAAGCGTCCGACTTTCGCTTAGGTCATGATCTCACGGTTCGTGGGTTCGCGCCCCGCGTCGGGCTTTGTGCTGACTGCCAGCTCAGAGCCTGGAGCCTCTTTCGGTCTGTGACTCCCTCTCTCTCTGACCCTCCCCTGCTCACGCTGTCTCTCTCTCTCCTAGAAATAAATAAAACATAAAAAATAATTTTTTAAAAATAAAAAAATAAATAAAATAAATAATAAAAAATAAAAAAAAATAAAAAAAAAATAAAACCTGGCAATACCAGTTTATATATATATAAATATATATATATATATCTCATAATATACACATATATACACACACAGAGACAGAGAGAAAGAGGGAGGGAGGGAGAGAGAGAGACTAGAGTTAAAAAAATGAAGCAAAATAACAGAGCCAGCCTACTCTGTTGCAGCAGGAATTTACATAAAAGCAAGAGCAGGAGGTTACAATTGTCCCTCTGGTAGTAATGGATTAGAGTTGGGGACATCAGTGAGGGACAGGTACATGGGAACTCTATTACCTTCTCAATTATTTTGAAAATCTAAAACTTTTCTAAAATATAAATCTGTAAAAAATATTCAATGACCTTAAAACTCCTTCATAATGCTGACACAATTCTATCTCTTTATGAGCATCTTCTTTCACAGTCTGCCCCAGCCATAATAGCTGCCACACTGGTCTTTGAGGACACTATACCAGACTCCACCTTAGGTAACACCTGCTGTGACTTATACTTGGAACATTCTTTCTACAGATATCTGCTTATATCATTAGTGCTTCAGGTCTCACTCAAAAATATTCTCATATGAGAGAACTTATTTGACTATCATATAAGATAAGATACAAAATAGATACCATACAAAATAAGATACTCTCTCTAGCCCATCTTCAGAAACCCCTATCATGCTTTCTCAGTTTTATTACCATTCACAGAATTTTTTATTATTTGGGATGTTATGTATTTACATGTTTAATTGTTTAAGATTTGATTCCTTCCACTGTCATATAGGCAGCATGTGGGGAAGAATTTGTTCTATTCGATTTTGTATGTGAAGAAGTTAAGAGTAGTCAATGTTTGTCGTTCAGTAATGAATGACAATAGACTGATGAATGTATGTAGAATCTCTACATTTACTCAGTATATCTAATATATATGTAGAAAGACTATCTTATAGCAAAACTTTTAATATTAACTTTCTCGTTGCTCGTCCTTAATTTCTGTGAATTTTCCAGACTTTAAGTTTACATTTTATATCTGTACAACACTTTATAATACTTCCATTATGACAGCTGCACTAGGCATAATGCTGTTTGCAGCACAGTGTGAATCACAATCTGGAATATATAATGTTTAAACCTCTGACTGAACTGGAATATATAATTTAGCAATGTAGTAAAAAATGTGCATGAACTTGGCATTAAAAGTGACAATAAAATATTATTACCAAGCAGACTTTTGGAATACTTCTTGGAGACTTCTTGAGTGTATACTAGAAAGGAAATGCTTTACTAACACTTAGTTCATGAACTTTACTACAAAAAATTGACAATTGGATTACATGGTTATGTCACAATTTGGATGTAATATCAAAAACCTGGAAAGTGTGAGATATGAGAGTTAAAATACTAAATATGCTTCCTACTGAGTATTCAAATCAAATGTGTTTTAAACATGAAATGAACCCATAAAATTCCATTTTAATTTTCTTCCAACCATATAAGCTGGAGAAATGCTGTGCTGTAGTTTGAATATCCTGAAATTAGTCACTGCAGAGGCTACGATGTAAAACTAGTGATCTGGAAACACCCATTATTGAGAGACATCTTTAAACAATGAAAAGTAAGATACATTTGACATTTCAAGTATTATCGCCAACATTGACTCCTTGCAACTAATGTATTCACAATACAAAGAAATAGAAAAACCTCTCACTATGTTGAACTGCCGTTAATATATTCTTCAAACAAATCACAGCCACCTGATATTTCTAGACTCACCTACTAGTCATTAATATATTTTAATGCTTTAAGATAGCAGCAAAAGTTCTAGCCTTTGGGATTCAAATATTCTAGGTGCTCTTAATTATTCAAAGTATTGAAAATATTTTATTAACCCTAGTTGGATAAACAATAAATTCGTCATTGGATAAATATTACTATCATTCAAAAGATGTTGATGGAATATATACTATATTTGTTTTAAGGAAATATTATTATTAGTCAAGAAATATTCATTGAGGGGAGCCTGGCTGGCTCAGTCGGTAGAGCATGTGACTCTTGATCTCAGAATCATGGGTTCAAGTCCCACACTGGGCATAGAGCTTACTTAAAAAAATATTCATTTAACATGTAATCTATTCAGTGAAATATCAGAGCCAAAACTTTGAGAGCTAATCGAAAAAATAAATGTTATAAATGTTTATAATACAAAGAAGAGTATTTTGTGCTGTGTCATTATCTTAGTATGTTTACAAGAGATAACATAAGTGTGATTGTGTGCAATATAGTTAATAAACATGGATTTTTGACAGCCATTCCAAAATCCAGACTAAGAGGCACCACCAAATAGAGAAGGAATTATAAGTATATAAGTTGTAGTAAATATCTTTAGGAACTGGTATGGACTGAGAAAGCTTGGAGAAGTGACAATGGAGTAAAAGACCGAAGAGGAGAATCAAAACCAAAAACTGATTGGAATGGGTTAGCAAAGAGTTTTGGTTATATTCTCTTTATTCTATTTTAGCCTGTGTATATCAGTACCTAATGAATTAATTACTGTTGTGGTAATTTGAAAATATATCCATAATTCTTGTGATTCTCCTAACATCAAACAGCAATTTCTATTTTCTTTCATCAGAAGTATGACTGAACTCAGTGACTGACTTCATACAAACAGAGTACTATGGAAGTCATGATGTGTGAGTTCAGAAACTGGGGCTTCTCCTATCTGGGACTGCTTATGCTGGGGAAGGTTGTTCTCATGTTATAAGGATAGTCATGTAGTCTATGGATAGGTTCAATCAGTAAGTAACTAAGGCACCTGCTAATAGCCAGTGAGGATCTGAGGCTTTTTGCCAACAGCCATGTGAGTGAGCCATTTGGAAGCAGATCATTCAGTCCTACTAATACCTTGTAAACAATCAAGATACCCTGAGTCAGAGCCACATTCTCAAATACTCCTAAATTTCTGAGCCACAGCGATCCTGAGAAGCTAATTTTTTTAAGCCACTAAGTTTTCTGATAATTTGCTACACAGCAATAGATAACTATTTTCCTTTACTTTATTGAATTAGGAATTCTCCATCTCCATGATATCTATATGACTAAACCCTATCATTATCATGCACAGAGATTTTTCCAATGTATCAGTCATCAAAAACCTTTTGAAGTTGAATATACTAAATATTTGCATTTAATTTTTTTTTAGTTTTTAGTATTTATATTTTTTTAATTTTAATGTTTTATTTAATTTTGAGAGAGAGAGAGAGAGGGAAAGAGAGGGAGAGAGAGAGAGAACAAGAAAGGGAAGGGCAGAGAGAGAGAGGGAGACACAGAATTCACAAAGTAAGTTCCAGGCTCTGAGCTATCAGCGCAGAGCCCAACACAGGGCTCAAACTCTTGAACCATAAGATCATGACCTGAGTCAAAGTCAGATGCTTAACCAACAGAGCCACCCAGATTCCCCTAGTAGCAATTTTTTTAAGTGTATTTATTTATTTGGAGAGAGCAGAGACAGCATGATTTGGGGAGGAAGATAGATAATCCCAAGCAGGCTTGCACCTTCCAACCCGGGGACCCAGACTCACCAAACTGTGAGATCATGACCTGAGCCGAAACCAAGAGTCAGACTCTTAACTGACTGAGCCACTCAAGGGCCCAAATATTTGGTTTTTTGATTTAAGTCTTTCTATGTATTGTCTTGGGTAAAAACAGAACAGAATTCAGTGGGATAGGTTAGGGCAGATTACAAAACAGAGAGAGATAAAGAGCATTAGTTTCAATTTATGAACTGGAGTAATTTAAAGGAGAAATAGATACACAGTTTTTACATTTTTCAATTTTTTTATGTTTATTTTATTTTTGTGAGAGAGAGCAAAGAGAGGGAGACACAGAATCTGAAACAGGGTCCAAGCTCTGAGCTGTCAGCACGGAAGCTGACACAGGTCTCAAACTCACAAACCACAAGGTCAGGACCTGAGCTGGTGTTGGACGTTCAACCAACTGAGCCACCCAGGTGCCTCAAGTTTTTACATTTTAATGGAATTGGATAGGAGTCTTTTAAGAAAGTCTTTTAGAAACTTTATTATGCCAATCAAAAAATTGAAGTACATTAGCATCACTGAATGTTTGTGATAACTTTCACCACTACTCCATTCAAATGAACAATGTTGCTCATATCAAAAGTTCCCTGAAGTTGCAACTGTAATTCTAAGTTATCTTTGGTAAAAGTATGTAATTTAGACAGATAACACACAGTTCAGAGCTATACTGTCAGTACATGAAAGAAGCAGATGTCTGGGCCAGAGGACTTAGACTAAGGACAGCCCATTAGCATCTGGCAACGTTCAAGAGACATGTTGCTTGTGCAACTCATGTGTCCAGTCACAAGCTAACAGTTCCCTTTCTCCAATTGCAGAACTAGGGCATTTCCCGTTCCCAGTGAAAAGAAGGGTTAGAGAATCTCCTTTAGATATAGAGTATCTTGAACAGAGCAAATATGACTAAAGAAAGTTCTCATATGTTTTTGGTTTTGATATATATTTACTTTTTATATGGATGAGATAAATGTTATGTTTTTTATTTCAAAATAATACATGTAAAATGCAAATGTTCCTCACTTAATACAAACAACTCTCATATCCACCTTCCCAAAGAATAAAGGGAAACTAGGTTTCTGTCTTTTGAGACTTTGTAAGTCCTGAGCTTATTTTTCTGTGTGCCTGTACAATTCACAGACTCAGTTCAAGAATGCCTACTAGGGTAGATTACATACCTGCAGGCTTCTTGCAATGAAGCACTACATTTCTACAAAGTCAGGTATTTTTTTTCTTTATTAATTTATTTTTTTGAAGCTTGAAGAGAATCAAAAATTTTTTTCTGCTATTATTTTTCAGCATACACAAATCTATTCCTTAAAGGTCATCTAAAAATTACTGGGTAAGATATTTAGATCAAGCCAGAGCAGCATATTAATAAGTGCCAGAAAGAACAAAACTGAAATGTTAGATGGTTGAACTTTGAACCATTGGATTTTTGCAGTTTTTAAAAACAGGTTCTCTCGTTCCTGGACAAATTAATAAATTCCCCTTGCCATGAGTTTATTGATGGAAAGAGATAAAGGAAAAGCAACGGACTTTGTACTCTGTCGGCTCAGAAAGTCTTACATGCATTCTCCTGAACCACTTTATTATCTTTATTCATACCTGAGTGGCAGAATTTGGTTGAGAGGCCTGGGGCAATTTATGCCCATGCAAGTCAGAGGGGCGTAAGTAAACACACAAGAAGGTTTATTGGTGAAGGTGTTAGAAAAGCTACGGCCTTTCTTAGGTCAAAATTATCAGTCTGGTGAGAAGTTCAGAAGAAGAAGAATACTTACTGAAATAAATGGAAAGACCTAAGTTGAAAACTAATTTAATGTAAGCACACTTGTAAAAAAATTTTTTTAAATAAAGATAACATGTGCTATACTTTCAAGTTCCACAAAGCTTTAAGGAGAAAGCAGAGGAGAGAAAACCTATTTGGGTGATAGCACTCTTCCATCTTCCAAAAGCCATACTATCCAGACCAACATGACAGTGATTATACACACTTTACAAAAGTGTTTCTCTTTTTAAGTTTACTTATTTATTTTGAGAGAGAGACAGAGAGCAAACAGGGGAGAGACAAAGAGAGAGAATCCTAAGCAGTTTCCACACCAGCAGCATTGAACACAATCCTAAGCTCGAACTCACAAACTATGGGATCATGACCTGAGTCAAAACCAAGAGTCAGTCGCTCAACTGACTGAGCGACCCTGTCACCCCTACAAAAGTGTTTCTAATTCTCAGTGTTTTTTCTTATTGAGTTTTCTCTTTTAGGAAAATTGTCATCAACATGTAGCACCAGCACTGAGAACATCACCAAATCCTCAAAGTCTGGGTTTCTTATAAATAAAATGGACTCCATCCTGATTATGAAGTGATTCAATATAAGCCACAACAATGATTTATTCTTCAGTTATTAGCCCTCTAAAAGACTTTTCAAACAATCTGGAGAGTAATTTAAAAGAAAATGAACCCACATAACCTGACTTCCATTGTGTGGGGTAGAAAAAATGCCTTTGATATAAATAGGGAGTCAGTTTCAAAATGATTTTTTTAAAGATATGTTTATATGCTCCTTGGTTCAAGTGTCTTCAGAAACTGAGTCTTCTTATGGAGATTCCTACTGGTAATGTATTAGGCTCTCAGTCATGGAACTGGAAGTTTCCCTGACTTCTCTCATAAGGTGTGGTAGGGACCCCTCCCTAAGGAATGAAAACAAAAACAAAAACAAGAACAAAAACAAAGAAAACCTCAAGGCAACCTGGCTGTACCTTAAGTGGTAACACCCCTCAGGTGACCTTGTAACATGAAACCACTTAATCAGACTGCATGTTTGTGTGTTACCATATATGGGAGACAAGGACATAGAAAATGTATTTTAAAAAACTATGCCACGTGGTGTTCGGGGCTCAGTTCTTTGGGGTGGAACCCAACTGAGCAGTGCCAGCATGAATAAATTTGCTTCCTGGAAAGAAAAGACTTCGTGTCACAACTCTGTGTGCAAGAATCCTGCTTCAGTGAGTATGGGTGAGTATCCCAATGCAATGTTTATCCTATGAAAGAGGATTTATCCAACACTCCACCTGACCATTTCTTCTAAGAGACTCACGTTAAAAACTGAAAAGATCAGATAGAAAAGCAGTTTTCGTAATAATCAGATTCATTTTTGATATTTGATAGCTTACAACTTCTAAACCTTAATGCTTCTCTTTTCTCTTCTCCTCCTGGGCTCTCATCTTTGACACTAGTGGAGAATTTAAACCATGGAAGTCCCTGCCCACAGACAAAACCCAGCCCCAGCCTCAGTCCCTAATCCCACTAAAACTCAAAGTCAGGCTCCTTTCCTTCCCTCTCAAAGCCATCTTTAAACCAGCTTAGGAAGTCTGCCTTGTTCTCCCTAGAAAGTGTTATCATGTAAACAATAAACCTTTTATGCTATCTTGGTGTGTGTGTGTATGTGTGTGTGTGTCTGTGTGTGTGTGTGTGTGTGGTGTGGCATTCGTTTTAATATCT